CAGTTATAGCTCAATTACGCTTACGCCATTTAATCAGACTAATGTCCTTATCCCAGTATACAGTTAGGCCCAGAAATATTTGGTCAGTGACACAATTTTCATGCCACCACATTGGATTTGAAATGAAACAACTGAGATGCAATTGAAGTGCAGACTTTCATATTTACTTCAAGGGGTTGAACAATAATATCCTATGAAGCGTTTAGGAATTGCAACCATTTTTCTACAAAGTGTCCTCATTTCAGGGGCTCAAAAGTCATTGGATAAATTAACATTACCATAAATAAAACTCCAGGTTTGCTCCTTTGTGATGCTTTGCCAGGCCTTTACTGCAGCTGTTTTCAGTTGTTGCTTCTTTGTAGGTCTTTCTGCCTTAAGTTTTATCTTAAGCAAGTGAAATGCATGCTTGATCGGGTTGAGATCTTGTGAATATTCTCGGCCATTGCAGAATATTCCACTTCTTTGCCTTAAATAACCCCTGGGTTGCTTTCACAGTATGTTTTGGGTCATTGTCCATCTGTACTGTGAAGTGCCGTCCAATCAACTTTGCTGCATTTGGCTGAATCTGAGCAGAAAGTATATCCATATACACTGCATAATTCATCTGGCTGCTTCTGTCTTCTGTCACATCACCAATAAACACTAGTGCCACTGGAAGCCATTCATGCCCATGCCATCACATTGCCGGCACCATGTTTTACAGAGGATGTGGTGTGCTTTGGTTCATGAGCCATTCCAAGCCTCCTCCATAGTTTCTTCTTCCCATCATTCTGGTACAGGTTGATCTTAGTTTAATTTGTCCACAGAATGCTGTTCCAGAACTGGGTTGGCTTCTTTAGATGTTTTTTGGCAAAGTCTAATCTGGCCTTTCTATTTTTGAGGCTGATTAATGGTTTGTAATTTGTGGTACTGTAAACCCTCTGTATTTGCTCTCATTAAGTCTTCTCCTTATGGTAGACTTAGATATTGATACACCTACTTCCTGGAGAGTGTTCTTCACTTGGGTGGATGCAGTGATGGGCGGTAGCGCCGCTACATGTAGCAAAGCTATTAGTTTAACTACATTTTCTAGTAGCTTGCCTGTAGCGTTGCTGATTTCTGAATCAAATAACTTTCCAGTAGTTACGTTATTTTTTTGATCAAGTAACGACGTAGTGTCCACAAAAGCTACAATTTCCAGGACATGTCTGAGAAAAGCAGAGGTTTCCTCTGCAGTATGATTTTGAAACGCAACAATCAGACAGAAATAAAGCACGTTCATGCGCGACCTTCTACTCTACTTCTACTGCCTGTCTATCGAAACACGCATGCATATGGCAGCGTCGTGAGATCGATACTTCAGTTTCAATTTCTGTCCTGAATGCACTTCGGCTGTTTGTGTGAGAGATGGTGCTCACGTGACTCAGCGCCGCCAGGCAAGCAAATAGGCTCACTTGCGCACGCACACACACACACAGTTTAATGTTTACAATAAAGTATTGAACTAATGGGCCGCCGAACCATTCTCGCAACAATTAAACAGCAGAGATAGTTCGGGGTTTAATCACCAGATGGGGTTTATTACACCCGTATTACTGCAACCCACACACTCGCACTGCCCACTGTGCACGTCGCCCCGTTTACTCCTCACACATATGGTGGGCGCACGCACACATACACGCACACTACGTACAACAATAAACATTAACGATTATACATGACATAACACACAGCACATTTATAATGACCCAAGCGATTACTGAGAACTATATTTACAAGCTGGCATCAGTCCAACATGCCGCGCTGCCTGCCAGTACCTCCGCGCTACAGTATTTATTTACTTATAGACTTTGCCCAAATTCTGTCCTGGGTTTTTACTAATTAATAATTAAAAAACACTTAAAAGTAATGAAAATGAATCCAGCTTTAGCAAATTGATGATGCATCCACCTTAGTTATTAAAAAGTATAGATACTGTACAACACAGGGGTCCCAGCAAGTGCAGCCTGAGAAAGACTTTAGCGTAGGAAAGGATATTTTCAGACCAAAGAGAAACCACCTTTCTGATGCCACTTTTGAAAAGCTTCTCTTGTGCCATGTAAACAAACACTTGTTAGAACAATAAGAGCCCACCCATGCACCATTACCCCTCTCCCCCTCGCCCCTCCCCTTCCATCCCATCACGCCAAAACTAAAACATGTAATTCAGGACTTTGATTCTCATTTCAGTTTGGACCAGTTCATTTGCTATTGTCCCAGTCCTTATTAATCATGGTGTTGCATGTCATCCGTAAACACAGTTTAACACGGTTCTTCAACACAAAGTTCATTTGTAACTTCAACCGACTTGTTTAATTGGAGTCTGAAGAAGTTTTCTCATTAAGGGAGGCCCTGAGGAAATAAGATGGCTGATAATATGGTTTTTCTTTTCCCTAGAAAATTTAAATTGATTTAAACCTATAGCCATGTCTTGCCCATCTAACACTAAACAGTAGCTTTCATTAGGTACTAAATAGGTTGTTTTCTAGAGTACTGGTTTACCTAGTAGTAGGCCAATAACTTTTTTTTGTTTTATTCCCAGAAGTAAGCTTTTATTTGTCTCGATGCTTCACATAACGCAATCTCTACACTGTTAAATCATGGGTTGTTCTTTAATAAATGTCTTAACCAGTGTATCTGACTGACATTTTGCACTGATCTGATATTAGGTTGGTACAACATGAAGTACTGTAGCTTCTGATGTAGTAAGCTACTTTTGCCATATTTGTGTAACTTAGCTTGCTATATTTCTATGGGTGGTAGCTTTTGTGTAGTGAAGCTTAATTTATTGTTGAGTAACTGATAGCTCACGACACTTTACAAATAGCTTGCCCAACACTGGGTGGATGTTGTGAAGGGGTTTCTCTTCACCATGGAAAGGATCCTGTGATCATCCACCACTGTTGTCTTCCGTGGGCGTCCAGCCCTTTTTGAGTTCCTGAGCAATACTTGTGTCACTGTCCAAATATTTCTGGGCCTAACTGTACCTGCATGGGAGGGGAATCAATTTATTGACCAAAGTATGTTTGACTGCCCTACAATAGGTGGAAAATGATTCCTTTCAGCTTGTTAGTATTGGGATTTTGACCTATAATGTCACAGACTAAAAAAATTATAAAATTAATAACAATGGATGCATGGACAAATAAAATCTGGTCAGGAGAAGAGATACAACAAGAGTTTTGTAACAAGTATTTTGTGTAATTTACCAGCACAATACTGGAAATTTTTCAAATACTGCAATGTGATTTTGTTGTAATAAATATTGGGGTATTTATGAAACAAAAGGAGTCTTCTCATAAACCCATTTAAGGACTGACTGAAATAGCAAGAATGAAAATGATTATGATTTTCTCAGAGAATGCATGTAGCGCTCATGCAGAATCAGTGGAGGTTAACTTTAAACTGATTTTAAACATACTAGATAATCTTGAAAAAGAATAATCAATAAAATTGCAAAACTTGCTAGGTTTCTTTTTTCCTATGACAGAGTAAAAATGTTTTTGCAAGACTTAGACTCCCTGCGCTATAATATTTGTACCAAATTGAAGGTAAGAAAAAGCCTGATCTTAATCTAGCTGACTAGTGATGTAAGGATATGCAACATGTGATGTCGGTATTACTATTGCATGTCATCCAGTCCTACTACAGCGGTTTTTCAAATTCAGTACAAAAGACCCCGCCTTGCCTTGTGCTGTCATTCAGCAGTGGTAACAGTTTTTATGGCAATGGAATAGCAACAATTTGTAATACCATACTTTTGGTACCTTCTTGAAGTACTACAATTTGCAGGAGCAAATCGACTCTCAATCGCATTCTCTGGGTGTCTTAGTCAGACTTTGAGAAATTCAATTTAGTGCAATTTCAGTCGACTAACATGTTTACATGTACTTTAAAAGTCTGGTTTTAATTAGATTAACACAGTAATTCAAATTTCTTACTGTGCATGAAAACGTACTGAGTTATAGTGTATGCATGTGCTAATGAAGTATCTATGAACATCCCCTGTCTAATATGTTCTTTATGTGTTTAAGTACATATTGTGCTAATCTTTGTTTGCTATTCTTAGTCTCAAACAGAGACACGGCAACAGAAGAGGCTGCTGTATGGGTTTTTGCTTCAGATCCATCAAAAAGCACGACAGACCTTATAGTGTAAAAGTAGGGCAAAACTGGTAATTTGTCAGAGTTTGCGTTAAAGCTGTTCAATGTTCAGATTGGTGTTGCATGTGTAAAATACGGCCATGTTTCATTTGGCCTCTGTTATTGCTTTTGTTGTTGCATGTGTTTTATGGTCCATTGAAATGGGGTCGTATTTACTGTGTTCATGAGATGAGGCCATATGAATGGAGGGATTATTTTGACTTTATTAAATAAATAAAAGGGTACACAAATAAATATATTGTGAAGTATGCCAGTAATAAAAGGTAATAAGAAATGTGTGCATTAATAAATATGTTGTAAAGTGTGGCACTGAAATATATGAAATAAATATATTAGGAAAAAAATGTCTTCCGGTTTTAATGATTTATTACTGGTTGTACTTGTTTGTTTCAGTGACGTTGCACATGGGTGTCGTGGTGCAGTGGTTAGCACTGTTGTCTCACACTGCTAGGACCTGAGTTCAAGTCTCCACTAAAGTTACATGTATGTGGGGTTTCTGCTGGGCATGCTGGTTTCAGGGGGGAATAACCCCACCGATAATCAAAACTAACCAATACAATGCCAGGCCCCCCCCCAAATAATTATGTCTCCCCCTAAACAGATGGAGACCTCAACCCCCCCCCCCACCAAAGTTATGCCCTTGCTTTCAACAGTTCCCTGTAGTTCCTAGTTATTGGTATGTAATTGCTAATTTGATTTGTTTAAGCAATTACTGCAGATCACCATGCAAGTCATCATTAAAATAATACATAACATACCTGTAAAACATTAAAAATCACTTAAGGAATTTTATATTATTCAGTTTATGTTGCAACTCACCCAACACGTTGAGGATGACTTCTTGGACTTGAGGTTCTCCTGCAGCTACAATTTGTAGCTGATAGGTCCCGCTATCATGCAGAGTGAGATTCTTCAGCTCCAGTGATCCAGTTGTGATATCAAAGTTGATTCTCTCGTTATAGACAGGGGCTGTTATGATGTTGGTTCCATCAAAGGTAAGTATAGTGGAGCCATTCACAGTCCATGATATAAACAAAAAACCATTATGTGAGTCTGTAGAGACTAAAAACTGCACTGAGTCGCCCACGGTTCCTACATCAGGCTTCAGCACAATGGTCACCTGCAAACTTCTGCAAGCTGCGAAATGAAATAAACACACATTATAGAAGAAGGAAATATTCAGACATAGAGTGTCTTGCAAAACGGTTGAACACCCCTTTAAAATGAACAGATATGCCTGAATTACAAATTATACATACACAAATTCTTCCTGTTTGTATTTCTATTGCAAACACATAGCCTCTCACAGCAAGTTTTTGTACATTTTCAAAGTCAACAGAAAGACAACTGAAAAAGCTGCTTGCATAAGTAATCATCCCCAACACATTAGTGTTTGGTATAGTCACCTTTTACTTCAATAATCAAGGTAATTCTGTATCAGTGTCACAGTGGATCGCTACCCCATTTTTTTTTGCCTCTGAGTGATGTACATTACAAAATGATGAAGGCATGTTTCCTAAATGCTCATATATTATAATCATAGCCATAATTAGTCTGTAATTTGAGGAAACATGGTGCTTTTTATTTGGTTCACTTAACATAAAGGAGTTACAGGACCTTACATTTGTCCTTGATGGATGCCCCATCCCCCAAAAAAATTATTTAGTTTGATTTCAAACACCACTTGACTGAATATTTATTCACCATATATATATGGTTTTGGAATTCCTGTGTGGAAGTTAAAGCACATTATACAGTACAAAAATATTGAAATACAAAAACAGTCATCTTCAAGAGAAAGTTGTGATAAACATATAAAAGGCTTGGTGCGAGCGTCGTCGTAGGGTTTCCTCCAGGTACTCAGGTCCCCCCAAATTACCCATAGGTGTGCAATGGTTTGTGACTGTGGCCAGTTATGGGTTTGGTGCCCCACCCTGGGTTGTTCCCTGTCTCCAGACCCCCCGTGACTCTGAATGGGACAAGTAGTTACAGAAGATGGATGGATATAGTAAAACTAATCATTATATTGCATAAATTATGAGTGATTAATTACCACCATTGCATCCCACCTCCACGTTTGGAAGGTTCCAGCTTTTCTGGTTTCCACTAACAGGCCAATGACATGTAGTCAGGCAAGTTGGTGTATTATTGTGTGTGTATGTAGGTGATTGTCATGTGAGGTACTTGCATCTTGCCCAGGGTGAACAGCAGCTTAGATGTTGTCACGACAAGGTATTGTCAGGGTCAGCTCCTGTTGTTCCACACTGTGTCCCTTCTCCGTTTTGCCAGCAGGTGTTGCTGGTCATCCCGTCCCTCGTGTTGTCAGTCTTTGTGTTTTCCCCTGCTTCCTGTTGGCTGAATGGTTCAATGCATTGAGCATGCGGCTGCCTGTGATCCCCTCTGTCTTATCTTGGAATCCTGCCTCCTCTGTTTTTGTAGAGTTTGTTCCCTTGTGTTTCAACTGTATCAGTTTGCTAGTCCCTGTCTTTTCATTTGTTTTTGCCCTTGTGCCCTTGATTGTGTTTATACCTGTCAGTTTTCCTCATTGTTAGATTCTGTTTCTAGTTTGAGTTTCATGTTTTAGTTTATTAGCTTCACCTGGGGGGTATTCCACGAAGCAGGATTAAGGGACAAGTCTGGCTCATTTAAGTGGAAATTCCGTTCCATCAACTTCTCTTAAATGAATCCCCGCTGAGCTACCATGGTAACAGAGGTGAGTGAACAAGTCTGCTCCGGACCAGGATAACTGTCTCGCTTAGGTAAGCATTGTCTCAAAGAACGTCCGACGTGTGGGAACAGATTCCCAAAAGATTGTTCTGTCAGACGAAATTCCGTGATCTTACTACTCATGTTATGGAATCTGTTGAATTACGTGTCTTCATATGACATAATATTTTATATTATCTGATTGAATTATTTTGTTAATCTGTAAAGTGTACCAAAATTACTTGATTTTGTTTGAGTTAGCGAGAGAATGAGTCTTGTATAAACGTATATAAAATAAATGGAACCCTGTAGTCAGTGCTGTGAATAAAAGCAAGACGAGAAAGCAGAGAATAAAAACCATCTTTTCGGAAGTAATCCTCTGCGTGATACTTCCATAATATGGAAAACAGAGCTGAGATTGCTACGTAATCAATATAATAAAGCCTATAAAATCACGTCTTAGCATTCCAATTAAGTCTAAAATAATTACAGTAAAATCCCATTATAGTGGACTTGCTTATAACGGAATATCGTCTATAACGGACAAGGTCTGCTAGTCCCGGCCGTGCGCCTTTAAGAACATGCAGAAAAAGCATCAGATATAGCGGACTCGCATATAACGGAATTTCGCTTATAATAGACAAACAATTTGGTCCCAAGAGCTGCTTTTAGCTGTAGTTCTGTTCGGCTATAACGGGAAAAAAGGTTACCTGGTACATTGGGCGGAGCTTAAAGCTCCCACCATCTGTGATGTCATAAGTGGGAGGGGGCGTATCCTTTGTTCTGATTGGTCGAGGGTTATGGCCAATGGTATCATACATGCTTATGCCATGTGTTGCCGATAGGGGGACTTATGGTTTGGGGAGATAAGGGTTGCTGTTAAACTTTAATAGAATAAAAATACATTACATGTATTTTATTATTGTGTTATTTTTAATTATGTTTTAAGGAATAATAAAACATATAGCAGGATGAACGTAAGCTAGCGCATACACGTCCAGCGGGGGTTCCGTCCGTGCGCAGTGGACACAAGCGCCCGGCGTATTTTAAAAGAAGAAGCACCAAAATGTTTTAAACAAGAAAAACTTTGGTGTTATTTTTAAAAGTAGTTATGTGACAAAAAAAATCTAAGTGGGTCAATATTAAAATGATTGGTATCATTGGAAAGGTCTTACAATCACAATGGGACAAATAATAAGAAAGTTACAAGCAATTTCCTATCGCCTATTTAGGCTAATTACGGTCATTAAGTACCTATGTAAAACAATAGAAATCAACAAATTGATTTGTGACCCGTTTTTAGGATGTTATCTTGTCAAGCATCATAACTTTCTTAATCTTAGTCCGATTTCAAAAAGGAAGGTGCTACGTTACGTGGTGTATGCGAGCAGAGAAGCAGGCAAGCTGAGCCAGGTAGTCCAATAAGCGTGGTTTTAATGATCACAGACGGGCAGACAGGACAGGATCAGGCACTACGCAGGACAACATCAATGATAGAACTTGGGAAACTAACCGAGACATAGACTAAATACACAAGACAAGCTGAGGGTAACGAGCAACAGGTGAGAACAATCAGGCAGAAACAGGAGGTAACGAGGTGGGCGTGGCACACATGAGGATCGGATGGAGCTGGACGTGACAGAACCCCCCCCCAAAGGCACGCACTCCAGGCGTGCCCGAGGGAAGGCGACGGACGAGAGGAGGGAACTGGACCTGGAAGACAAAAGGCAAGACATCAACGGGGAACCGGAAACAGAACGGAAACACTGAACAGGAACAGGGACCAGAAGAAAGACAAAACCTGACAAAGAACAGGAAACGCCAACAGACAAACCAGAAAAGGAGACCCAGGAGAAGGGGAGAAAGGCGGAACAAAAGGGCCAGGAGTGAACGGAGGAACGACAGGAGGAGAAGGATCAGGAACAGGCAGGACGAAGGGACGAGGAACAGACAGGGGAACCTGAGGGAACCCAGACGGGTGACGGGCAGCGGCCGGAGGGGCCGCAGGCGAGAGGGAGGAGGGAGCAGGAGGGAACCACACCAGGGCCAAGGGAACGGGACGAGGGAGAGACGCAGGGGACATGGAGGGAGCAGGAGGGACCACCGGTGCAGGCAAGGGGGGGAAGCCGCGGCAGGTGAAGGGGCAGCCGGGGAAGGCGCCGTCCGACGCCCCGCCGCAGCAGGGGGGCCTGGAGGCGGCCGACACGGAGTCAGAGGCGGGACCGAGGACCGGCACTGAGGTACCGGGGGGGGCCCGGAGGGGACTGCCGACCCAGAGCCGGAGGACCCGTAGGCAGCCCCCGAGCGACGGCTAGGGGACGCACGGGCGAGTCAGGGGGCAGGGCGGGCGGGACCCGACGCTTGTGTCCCCTCCCCTTACGGGACACAGAAAGGCGGGGTCCTGGGGGGTGTTGGCCTCGCTGAGGCAAGGGTGAAGGAGTCATGAGGGAGGTCCCCGAGGGGTCCCATTCAAGCTCCTCCTCTTCCGAGGAGAAAGGAGCGGGGGTCCAATTGTCCAGGACCTCCTCGGGGACTGGAGTCAGGGCCTCTAAAGAGGCAACAGGCGGTGCAGCCGGCACCGTGGGCGTGTATTTAATTACATTTAATAGGAACTAGTAAGCTGCATTTAGAATTATTTGCTAGGCAGATGTACCATACTGATAGCCTGTCCTACAGCCTACAAGGTAAAACCATATGGCACCAAAGCGGGGTCAATAATCTTTAAAAGAATAAAATACATTACAGGTGTTTATTAACAAATCATTTAAAATGCGTTTTAAGGGTAATAGCATTTATCAGCGTGCTTGCAACGGTGCTCTGGGCGCATCGATCTTTTGTATAGCTAGAGACGAAAGAGGGTCTGGCGGTTTTAAATAGAAAAAAAAAAATAGTTGTTTGTTAACATGTCATTTTAAGCAAATGTGCTATTTTATGTCAGTAAAAACACAGCCAACATGTTTAGATATGTCAGGCGACGAATGGCCGCAAGCCCTCTTTTATGTCGTGAGCGATGTTTTCGGGGGGACGCGTGATGAAGCAACATGGCCGCCCGTAGCCATAGCATATACGGTACAGTACATGCCAGCAAAACGGGGGTCATTAGTCTTTAAAAGAATAAGATACATTACAGGTGTTTATTAATGTACTGGTTTAAATGCGTTTTAAGGATAATAAAACTTTTGGCAGCGTAATTTTAACCGTGCTCTGGGGCTCGTCAATCTTTTCTAGCTAGAGATGAAAGAGGGTATTGCGTTTTTAAATGGTAAAAACAATAGCTGTGTTTGTTATTTTAAGCAAATGCGCTATTTTATGTCAGTAATAGCGTAGCCAGCATGTTTTTATGGTGAAATTATATGGTCTAGCATTGTTTCAATTGTTTTGATATGCCAGGCAGCTAATGGTCACAATGGTGTCATTATCGCTACAATGTA